GTGCCTGTGGCCTCTCTCTGTTTCTCATGTAAGAAATAAACTTTCTAGGACCAGCAGTTGGCATAATGGCTATGTCGCTGGATTCCTATGTAGTCGAACACAGTTCGAGTCCCGGACCCGGTAGCTTAAACTCATGCCGGGCACGTGTGCATGCGTGCCCAAGATCCCAAGAGAATGGAGGAGAAGGGATTGTGGCATGGCCATCCCCCCCGGGGGGTGATTTCTTGCTTTCTGTCTGTCTGTCTCTCTCTCTCTCTCTGTCTTGCTGGTAGTGCATGTGCCCTAGAGCAAAAGCATCTCAAAAAAGAAAGAAACTTTTTTTGAGAGGTTTTTTATTTATTTATTTTTTAAATTTTGCTATAGGGTGTGTGCGCTCGCCAGAAAGACAGAGAGAGACAGACAGAAAGCGAGAAATCACCCCCCAGGGGGGATGGCCACGCCGCAATCCCTTCTCCTCCATTCTCCTCTCGGGACCTTGGGCACAAATGTACATGCACCTGGCGTGAGTTTAAGCCACTCGGTCTGGGACTCGAACCACGGTTGACTACATGGGAGTCCAGTGACATAGCCATTACACTAACGGCTGGTCCCAAAAGAAATGTTTTGAAAAATAACAGGGTAAAAAATTTAGAACTGAAAAATATAATAAATAAATAGATATTTTAAAATAAATGGTTCTCTTCAGCCTTCCCTCACCCAAGAGAGACTACACATGTCTAGATTTATAGTTTGAAACATCTAAACATGTGAGGCTCAGAGAAATCCTCACTCCCCACTCAAACATCAGCAAAAGGGGAGGAAAAACTCCTCTTCAGAAACTTGAACAGAAAACTTCTCCCATGGGGACCACATTGCTAATGATAGCAGGAGAGAGACATTGGGACAGAAGCAATTCACAGCAAAAGGGAAGCAAATGAGTTCACAGGTGCATAAACATTCTCCAAAGAGTTATCCAAAAGTGAATCCACCACCAAATAACTAAAAGTCACAGAAGAGCCTCAAGTATGAGAAAACCAGGAAATACATCTCTCAAGAGAATATAGTAACTTGCCTCCAGCTTTTGAAAAAACAAAAAAAGTTACCAAAATGTCAGAAAAAGAATTCAGAACATTCACGGTGACAAAACTCTATGAGATGGAACAGAAAAGAGACAACAAACTTTAAGAGATGAGCAAGATTTGGAAGAAGAAATGGGCACCATAAAGAAATCAAATTGGGGAACCAGCAGTTAGTGTAATGGCTATGTCGCTGGACTCCCACGTAGTCGACCGTGGTTCACGTCCCAGACCTGGTGGCTTAAAACTCACACCGGGTGCGTGTGCGTGCATGCCCAAGATCCCGAGAGGAGAATGGAGGAGAAGGGATTGCGGCGTGACCATCCCCTCTGGGGTGTGATTTCTCGCTTTCTGTCTCTATGTCTCTCTCTGTCTGTCTGGCGAGCGCATGTTCCCTATAGCGAAAACCTCTCCAAAAAAAAAAAAAAAAAAGAAAGAAAGAAAGAAAATAAATCAAATTGAACAGTTAGAGAGGAAGACTAATACAGGAAATAAAAACATCTGAAAGGATTTAAAGCTGATTAGACCATGCAGAAAACCAAGTCTTGGTTGTAGAAGATAAAATCTCTGACTTAGAAAAAAATCACCAAAAAGATGGAGAAAATAACCCCCCAAAATGAGGACAATATACGAGAAACAATAGATACCATTAAACACCCAATCATCCAAAAATTGGTATCCCACAAGGTGAAGAAACTAATAAGGGCATTGATAATCTATTCCACAAAATCCCAGAAGAAAACTTGGAAAGTCTAAAGGACCACTCGCACATCTAGACCCAAGAAATACAAAGGACCCCAAAAGAATCAACTGAGGAAGATCCTCTCCACGGCACATCATAGCCAGACTGTTCAAAACCACAGATAAAGACAAGATGCTAAAATTGGCAAGAGAAGAACGTCAAGTTACTTACAAATGTTATCCCATCAGGCTAACATGGATCTCTCACAGGAAATAATGCAAGCAAGGAAAGAATGGGAAGATATATTCGAAGTGTTAAGAGAGAAACAATTTCAACCAAGACAACTGTACCCGGTAAGATTATCCTTCATATAGGAAGAAAAGATAAAAACCTTCCCAGATAAACAAAACCTGAAAGAATTTACCAACACCAGACTAGCTCTTGAAGAAATTATGAAGAGTGCTTGGGACCAGCAGTTAGCGTAATGGCTATGTCACTGAACTCCCATGTAGTCGACCGCGGTTCGCGTCCTGGACCCGGGTGCGTGTGCATGCGTGCCCAAGATCCCGGGAGGAGAATGGAGGAGAAGGGATTGTGGCGTGGCCATCCCCCCTGGGGTGTGATTTCTCGCTTTCTGTCTCTCTGTCTCTGTCTGGCAAGCGCACGCGTCCTATAGCAAAAACCTCTCCAAAAAAAAAAAAGAGTGCTATACCAGGAAAACTAGAAAAAGACAGAAGAGAACAAAAAACAACCAAGAAAATGGCCAACTCAATGGTAGGGACAAGTCTGGAAATCTTGATAATAACGTTGAATATTCATGGATTAAATTCCCCAATCAAGAGACACAGATTGCCTGAGTGGATAAAAAAATTTAAAAAAGACACAAACCCTCTATCTGTTGCCTACAAGAAATGCACCTCATGGATAAAGACATACATAGACTAAAAGTAAAGGGCTAGAGAAAGGAATTCCATGCAAACGGAAACCAAAAAAGAGTTGGAGTTGTGATACTAATTTCAGACAAAATATGCTTTAAAATATAAGCTGTGAGACAAAGAAGAACATTATATAGCAGTAAAAGGGCTAATTTATCAAGAAGATATAATGCTTGTAAAATCTGCACCCAATTCAGGAACACCCAAATATGTGAATGAAAGACAGCTAGATCTAAAAGGTGAGAGAGACTGTAACTCAGTAATTGTTGGGGATCTCAATACTTCACTATCTCTTTTGGACAGATCATCTGGACAAAAAAATAAGCAAAGAGAATCAGGATCTAAATGATAACATTAATCGAATGGACTTAACTATCTATAGAACTTTCCATTCAAAAACCACAAAATATAGTTTTTTTCTTACCCCCACATGAAACCTTTTAGAATACTGACCACCTGATATGGCACGAAACAAGCCTTTACAGATTCACAGGTATAGAAATTATATCTAGCATCTTTTCTGACCATGGTGGAATTAAACTTCAATTTCATCCATCCATCCATCCATCCATCCATCCATCAGGAAAAAAAAACCACAAAAATAGGCAATCATATGGAAACTAAATAACCTAATCTTGAATGACTTCACAACTACTGAAAAAATTAAGACTGAAATCTTAGCTTCATGAAAAGCAATGATAATGAGTACATGAGTTTCTATTGAACTTCATTTTATTTACTTATTTATTTTAATTTTACCAGAGAGGGACAGAATGTGAGAGAGAGAGGGAAAGCAAACTGCCAGATCTGGGACTCGAACCATGCTCAGCCATGTGGGAGTCCAGCGTCCTTAACCACCACACCACCTGCTGGCCCCATGAGTACATGAGTTTCTATAACCTATCGGACACAGCAAAAGCAGTCATAAGAGGGAAGTTCGTAGCAATTAGTGCACATAAGAAAAAGATGGAAAGATGGCAAATGGACAATCTAACATCATGTCTCAGAGAACTGGAAAAACAGCAACAGAAAAAAATCTTTTAAAATGCCAGGAGAAAAGAAATAATAAGGATTTGAGCAGAAATAAGTGAAATAGAAAATAAATATACAGAAAATAAATGAGAACAAAATCTGGTTCCTTGAAAAGACAGACAAAATCAACACACCATTAGCTATACTAATTAAGAAGCGAGAAATGAACCGGATAAGTCAAATTTGCAATGAAATAGGCAATGTTACAACAGACATAATAGAAATGCAAAATATCATTAGAGGATACTAAGAGGGACTGTACTCTAACAAACAAGAAAACCTGGATGAGATGGACAAATTTCTGGACACATATCTACCAAAATTGAATCAGGGGTACATAGAAAGTCTGAATAGACCCATAACAAGCAATGAGAGTGAATCAGTAATAACCTCTCAACAATAAGAAAAAAGTCCATGTCCTGATGGCTTCACTTCAGAACTCCAGAAAACTTTGTATAGGATAATTTAAAAACTATTTAATTTTATTAATTATTATTGTTAGTATAACCTCTCTAAAAAATCCCCTCTAGCTTTGTGACATGAGAAAACTGAAGCTCTGGAGAGGCTAAGTTGCCCACAATCCCACAAATATAAAAGTACCTCTATCTGTCCATATTGGTTTTCTTGATATCACAGAGAAAGACACCCTAAAGTAAAGGAGGGGATACTAACCAACTCATTGAATCTGGACTCGCTGTGATAATCATCTCGGCTAAATCCCCCAGGAACTTCTCCTGGTGCCCTCGGGTTGTGCACCCTGATCCCTCGCCAGTGCGACTCCACACCCTACTGGTGTGAGCCTGTGTGTATGTGTGTGTGTGCGCGCGCGCGCGGTGGTGGTGGGGACACAAAGCGTCTCCGCATCAGCCAGAGATGGTGGAGGCATGGCTGGGGACTGCAGACTCCTGGTCAGGAAGAGGACTCTACCGAGGGGCTAAGAAGAGGACAGGAAGAGGGTAGGAGGCGGGGGGCGAGACTGCCCCGCCCCTGCCCCTCCATCCACTCCCATTGGCCGAGGGTTTCCGGGCCCCATTCCCACCACCCGCCTCCAGAGCGACGCTTAAAGTGTGCGGAGCAGGTGCCTCAGTTAGAGCAACAACTTTGCGCGTGTCCAAGCTGAGCACGGCGCCCATTCATTGCCCTCAAGCGTCCATCCATCCATCTGTCTGGCTGATTGTCCAGGCTGTAGGGGCTGCAGGCCGGGTGCAGCCGTCACCTGGGGGAGCTAAGGCCATAAAAAGGGCCGAGAGCTCGACTAACCCTCGCGGACTGGGGCAGGGGACGGTGGCAGCGGACATGCAGTCCTGTGCCAGGGTATGGGGGCTGCGCCTAGGCTATGGAGTCGGAAGCGGTCGGCGCCTGGCTGGGGGCGCGGGGCCGCGTTGGGCGACGGGGGGCCGGGACAGCAGTAGCAGCAGCGGGGACAGCGGCACCGCCGAGGCCTCGCGCCTCCTGGAGCGCCTCCTGCCAAGACACGACGACTTCGCTCGGAGGCACATCGGTCCTGGGGACAAAGACCAGAGGGAGATGCTACAAGCCCTGGGGCTGGCGGTAAGGACCTCCACCTGGCTCTCGGGCCTCTGCTCGGTCCCGCCCGGGTTCTGCTACGCGGCCTCCAAGCTCCCGCCCTAAGTTCTGCGCTCCGCGTGGGACCCGCGCCTCGGAGTCCGGCCTGGCGTGGACGCTGGCGGTGTGCTTGGTCCGGCTGCATTTACCCGCCGGCTTACTTTTCCCTGAACCTACTCTTTGTGTCTGAAAACCGTACATTTTTAAACCATCTCCAACCCAAGTAGCCTGCAGATGCGCCCTAACTTTGCATGAGGACGAGAAGACACCCCTCGCCCGTCCCCCCCCCCCCCATCCCCGCAACCCGGGTTAGACTAGGTTTATCTGGTTATCTCCGGTTGCAGACTGAAATCCAACCCCGAGTAGCCGATTCATGATTTTCTTTTCTTCAAGTGATTTCTGGTTTGCTCAAAGTTTCCTTTTCCTTCAAAAAAGAAACCCTAATTAGGCGATTTAAATGAGGTTCCCACAGCCTTGGTAGATGCAAAACACAGAGGTGACTTTTTAAAAACTCAGACGCACTTTCCTCTGCTCTCAGTGTTCACCGACTTGCGTTTTAATTTTAGAGCATTGACGAATTGATTGAGAAGACGGTCCCCGCCAGCATTCGCTTGAAAAGACCCTTGAAAATGGAAGATCCTATTTGTAAGTGGCGGGGAGGGATCCCTTAGGCTGGTGTGCTCTGGCCTATTTGCCTTCGGTGGTTCCTTAAGGTTCAGCGCTGGAATAGGAGTGCTCTGGACTGGAAACACATTGATTATAAAAAGCTGCAGGGAGGACTTAGTGACGGTGAGAGGGTGGGCTCTTTGGTTTCCTAGCTCTACCCTGGAAGAGTCTCTGGCGCACCATTCTTGGTTTTAATCCCCAGGCTCCCTGAGGAACCAACAAGTTTCCAAGGGGGTCCCTGGCACAAATTTGTGTGAGCATTCCCCACTTCCCAGGCCTTCCTTACAGGACCCAGTTTCTCCCATCCTGAGTTAAGGGCATCATCACTTTTTGTAGATCAGCATGATCTGCAAAAGGAAAGGGGGATTGCCTAAGGCCTACAAACTAGGAGTGACAATCACGGAAGAGACAACCTTCTCATGTGGCCAACATAGCCAAGTTTCTTATATCAGAGTCCCTTCAAATTGTTCGCTGTCTCACATCCAGATTTTCTTATCCACTGAAAGGGGGCCTAACTTTTCAGTTGCGAATGGTTTTCCTGGAAACACGCAAGTAAGATTCATGCTTGGTTAAAAAAACTGTTTACTCATAGGTTTTCTTAGAATTCTGTTTTGTATTTAAAATTATTTCAATGTTCTGAAGGTTGCCCTTCACAGGTACTTTGATGTGGGTAGTTGACTTCCCTGGAGTGAGGGAAGAATCTACACACAGGGCAGAAATAGAGCTCAGACTTTTATTATTATTATTATTATTGTTATTGTTATTATTAAAAACAAAAACAAAACCTTTCATCTGGTTATCTCATTTTCAGTCTTAGAAACACTTATCTCTAACTCTGGAGTCAAATGAAGAGATAGCAGCTGCTTGGTTCTGTTTTGAAAGGATATATATTAACAGATGGAGAGCTTTGTTTTGCTGTAAAGTGAATGAGTCAGGGTATTGACTCAGGTATCTCCATACCTGTGCTGACAGCAGATGTCTAATTTGGGTGTAGCTCAGGCAATGCTAAGGACTGTTGCCTTCGTTGTTGTCAAATCTGGTGGCATGGAATTTGCTCACAGAAGAAAATTTGCAAGTTTTTTTGAATTGAACTAATAGAGATGTAGGGGTAGCAGGAAGCCTTATTTATCTCACTTTTAGAAAATCAGGTCCTTGGGACCAGCAGTTGGTGTAATGGCTGTGTCGCTGGACTCTCATGTAGTTGACTGCGGTTCGAGTCCCGGACCCATGGCTTAAACTCACACTGGGCACATGTGCGTGCGTGCCCAAGATCCTGAGAAGAGAATGGAGGAGAAGGGATTGCGGAGTGACCATCCTCCCTGGGCCGTGATTTCTTGCTTTCTGTCTCTCTGTCTTTCTCTGTCTTTCTGGCAAGCGATCGCGCCCTATAGCAAAAACCTTTCAAAAACAAAAAAAAACAAAAAAACAAAGTAAAAGAAAATCAGGTCCTCATTTATTGGATGCAGAGTGAAGGGTTGCACATTTTGAAAGCAATACTTGGGTGAATATTTGAACAACTGGATGCCTTCTCAAAATTTCAAAGTCAAGAGAACATGTAGGTTAGCTACTTTTACAATAAACTTTAAGTAAGATGCTCTTTTAAGAGCTTTAGAATTTGGGAACCAGCAGTTAGAGTAATGGCTATGTCGCTGGACTCCCACATAGTCGACCATGGTTCGCGTCCCGGACCCGGTGGCTTAAAACTCACGCCGGGTGCATGTGCGTGCGTGCCCAGGATCCCAAGAGGAGAATGGAGGAGAAGGGATTGTGGCGTGACCATCCCCCTGGGGGGGGTGATTTCTCGCTTTCTGTCTCTATGTCTCTCTCTGTCTGTCTGGCGAGCGCACGGGCCCTATAGCGAAAACCTCTCAAAAAAAAAAAAAAAAGAAAAAAGAAATTAGTGAGAAAGTTGTTCTTATAGTGCAAAGTACAAAATAAACATAATAAACATACTTTAAAAAAAAATAAGAGCTTTAGAATCTGGGAAACATGTCAAAGTTGCCTGCCCTTTTAAAATCCAGCTACTTGGTTCCAGGTGAATAATTCGAACATCATTGAATTCTGTTTCTCCTCTCTTTGGAAGCAGGCTCATGAGAACTAATTTGCAACATGAGTGTAAACTTTAAACCTAGCAGCTTCTGTGTGAATGGGGGCTGGTTTTATCTGGTTAGTCTGAGGTAATTCAGAGAAAATATTGCACAGTCAGGAATACTTTCCTTGTCCTGAAATGGACCTGTTTTCCAATAAAGCTTGCTCTTGAAGTAGTGAGCTAGGAGTTGGGATGAGGGAGCATGTATCAGCAGAGCATGGATGTTTTACTCTGAAGCATGCATGTGTCATGGGTAATGAATGTTCTCCATGTGAGGAGAGCAAATTGGTACAAGTAACCCCTAGTAGTGGCATTTCCATTAAATAATATAGCAGTTCCTTTAGACAAATTTGGTTTTATGTGAATGCCTATTGTCTATGGGAACCAGAGGGGAATTCTAGATCAAATATTTGTTTGCCGTGTACAGAGAAAACTGTAATAACCATACTTATGAGTCTTAAATGACCTTATTGCTGAGTAAAATGGTTGTGAGAGTTGAAGACAGTGTGGTGCTACTTAGGTTAGTCCGTATGGTAATTAAATAATCTCAAACATTTATGTAGTGCTTACTGTGTACCATGTGCTTTAAGGTGCTTTTCATGTATTAATAATCCTTGGTATAATCCTATGAGCTAAGTGCCATCATTCCCTCTGTTTTAAGGATAAAGAAACCAAGCTGGCCCTGTGGCATGATGGCTACGGGAACTGGATCCCACTTGGCCAACTGTGTGGTTTGAATTATGGCCCCAGTGGCTTGAAAAACAGACAGAACGCATGTGTGTGTGTTCCCCAAATCCCAACAGGATGGAGAAATGGAGAAGGGATTGTAGTATGAGCACGCCCCACTTGGGGGTGCTTCCTCTTTCTCCTTCTCTCCCTGTCTCTTTCAAGCACAGCCAACCTCTGGCAACTATAAAAAAAATTAAATAAAGAATAAACCATAGTATACATAGTCCCTAACTTGTCCAGCATCCCAGTTTGTAAGCTGTGGAGGGAGAATTCAAATCCAGGTTGTCTGACGACGCTGTTCATATTCCAATTACTGCAAAGAAGAAACACTTCTCCTGACTTCTGTGACCCAGTGCATGAAAATATACAAACCCTGTCGCACTGGAATAACTGCTATGTACCAGCTGCCCAAATGGAAATGCATCGGCAAAATGGGCGTGCAGTTGTGGGAACACCCGGCTGGCTGAGTGAGGGAGGGGTCACAGAAGTGCAGCACTGAGCCTGGCTGTCAGGATGAGCAGAGGTGCTTTGCTGAGCAAGGCTAGGGAAGGCCACACAGGCAGAGGAATCAGGATAGAGTAGGGCAAACAGACCCAGGGAAGTGCAGTGATTTGTCAGACACGAAGGTTCGCAATCACCCCCCCCCCTTTTTTTTGACATTCTAGGAAGTGCCTTGAAAGAATACCTTGATGGAAGGCCACCCCTTGATGGGTGTAGTAGTTAAGACGCTGGACTCCCACATGATCAACTGCAGTTTGAGTCCCAGACCTGGTGGCTTGAAACTCACACTGGGTGCACGTATGTGCATGCCCAAAATTTGACAGGGGAATGGAGGAGAAGGGATTGTGGCATGGCCATCCCACTGGGGAATATCTCTCTTTTTCTTTGTGTCTCCAGCAATTGCATGTTCCCTATGGCAAAAAAAAAAAAAAAAAAAAAAAAAAGAAAGAAAGAAAAAAACCTTGATTATCTGTTGGTTTCTTAGAAAGTTATTATTCAGAGAAAAAAGTAATGCTACTCAATTAAAAACCCTGTCAGGTAGACCCAGCCAGTGGTGTGGTAGTTAGAGTGCTAGACTCCGACATGACGGACCGTATTTTGAGTTCTGGACCTGGAGGCTTGCTTTTTCACTTTCTCTCTATCTCTTTCTCCCTCTGGTGAGTGCATGTGTCTATAGCAAATTAAGAAATAATAAATTTTAAAATAAAAAGCTTGTCAGGGCGTTTGTAGTGTAGTCAGGAGCTTACTGAAGGGCCATGCACAGGTTCAGGTAGCAGGCCTGGGTGACCTGAAACATGCAGGGTGCCGTGTGTGTGCCAAAGATCTTTAGGAGGATCAGAGGAAGAGGATCACAATGAGAGCAGCTGCTGTGGAGGGTGCCTGCCTCTATCTCTCTTTCTCTCACTCTTTTGCTCATATGTTTACATGGATACACTGCTATTTGTTTCATCCTGTTCAACTGAATTTCCCTTCTCCATCCACATACACTTCTTTCTTTTTTTTTTGGAGAGGTTTTTGCTATAGGGCACGTGTGCTTGCCAGAAAGACAAAGAGAGACAGAGAGACAGAAAGTGAGAAATCACCCCCAGGGGGGGATGGCAACACCGCAATCCCTTCTCCTCCATTCTTCCCTCGGGATCCTAGACACACACGCACACGTGCCCAACGTGATTTCAAGCCACCGGGTCCGGGACTCAGACCGCGGTCGACTACATGGGAGTCCAGCGACATAGTCATTATGCTAACTGCTGGTCCCCCTATCCACATACACTTGCAAAACAAAACAACTAGGATATATGCCAGTGAGAATATTGGTTTCTTTCTTTCTTTCTTTCTTTCTTTCTTTCTTTCTTTCTTTCTTTCTTTCTTTCTTTCTTTTTTTTTTTAGAGAAATTTTTGCTATATGATGCATGTGCTTGCCAGAGACAGAGAGCTAGAAAGCAAGAAATCACCCCCTACCCCAGGGAGACTGGCCATGCCACAATCCCTTCTCCTCCATTCCCCTCTCAGGATCTTGGGCATGCATGCACACGTGCCCAGTGTGAGTCTTAAGTTACCAGGTTCAGGACTCGAACCTCAGTCTACTACGTGGGAGTACAGTGACATAACCATTACGTCATCTGCTGGTCCTGAAAACATTGGTTTCTCAGGGTGGTGCCAT